GGAGTAACCGCTCACCATTATTATTACGGGAACCTACACCATGTTGGCCGCCCAGATGCAGCTCATTAGTGGAGAATTTCCCAACTTGAGCAATCAGATCCCAAGCCAGTACAACAGTGTCCCTACTTCTTCTGTGACGGTGCTTGTTTAGGTGACGATAGAAGTCGTCTTTCACGGAATCATCGCTACACTTTGTGGGGACGTGGGCAGCGATGTTAAACAGACACCTATTAGCCCCGCGCGATTTCGAAGCTTTGAACGAGCCAGCCAGTCGGACCGCACAGATCCTGTTACTGATTGGAATCCAATCAACCAGAGTAGCTTCAGCCCGGGAACTCATGGCAATACCAACACCTGCTTGGCCGGTACTCGAAGCTGCATGGTCTACGGATAGTCGTAAAGAGAAAGCACTGCTAGTGTCACCTGGAGGGGATCGTAGAGTGAGAACAGAGCTCGGGTCTTGTAGACGGGTTTCCGATAGGCAGCAGATATCGATCGAGGGGGTCTCTAATTTTTGGACAAGTGCTGTCTGGTGACCGATCTGTAGCAATGTGCGTACACTGAGGCATGCAAATCTGAGGATCGGGGGCTCCTAAAGAGAACCCGAGAAACTGGGTTTGACCGCTGGGTTAGACATGGGCTTGTAGATAGGGCAAGAGTGACGCTTCGCGTTTGCATGTGACCTGAAAGTAGAAGATAAACGCCTACGAAAGCGTGGTGGGAGAGGACCAAGAATTGGGGGTTGAAAACAGGAGGATATAAGTGAAGTTGGAAGGGGACGGTAAGAGTGAAAAAGCGTAAGAGGAGAATAAGAAGACGGGAAGGCTTGAGCAGTAGCACATACAACCCTATCCAGCATGTTCGATGCAGCAGATAGGGCACCGTTGATTATCCTCTGCGGAGGCCAGAGCATCAGGAAATGGGTTGAGGAGAGATATACAGTATTGCGTGGGCAGGATACCATCACGCTGCTCAGGTCTAGACAGGAGAACGATTAGGGTTCTCCACCAAAGCCTTTGGTTCAAAACCCTGACCGCAAGGCAGCGGGTTTGGCAGTGGACTACAAGAAGTCCGTTTTAAACAATAAGGAGCAACCCTCATTCCAAGCCCCAACCTGGAGGGCCAGGAGGTTGAGTTTGTCTGGCCACTAACCATGGACCAATCTGGTATGAGTGGCTCTGAAGGTGCAAAAAAGCACCACCCAGCATAGCCCAATGGATCGCTGAGGCACGTAAACCATCGCACCACGGTAATATGTATGCAATCTCAACAGTCTAGCAACTAGACATAGAGCCGACAAAGCCATGAAAAGCAGCGGATAAGGGGAAGTCACTGCGACATAATCATCGTGGCATAGTAGTTGAAGGTGAGCAACCCACTTCAGCTACTATGCCGCAGGAAGAAACATTTTGACAAAAAGTAGAACAAAACATTTTTAGTTTGTTTTTCACACGCCGATTTTTCCCTTTTTTGTCATTTTCAACGTTAAACATGTGAATCAATACAATTCTGTACACAATTCTTCCACTGATTCCGGTTGCGGGCCATGTCTTCAAGAGTGTTAAGCCATTGGCACTCCTCATCTTTGGGTCCCCATCCTGGAAGACGTACGGATCCAACAGCGGCTAGACACGACGTCAGCGATTTCATGTGCTGTCGCCAAGTGGAAGGCTGACCACCACGCGGTCGCCTCCAGCCAGGTCCTTGACGAGCGAATAGAGCGCGACGCGGTAGACGCTCAGGTGCCATGCGTAGGACGTGACCGAGCCATCTCAACTGGCGCAGCAAAACCAGTTTGTTGAAGGGAATACTCGCATTCCCCAAGATGCGACGTCGAACGTCATTACTATTAACTCGATGTTGCCACCAAACACGAGCGATCCTCCTTAAGCAACCGTTATCGAAGGCAGAAAGACGACGCATGTCTTCCACGCGAATCGGCCAGGACTCGCTCCCATACAACAACACTGAGCGAACAGATGCGCTGTAAACGCGGCCCTTTAGCGAGAATGAGACGTCGCGACGACGCCACAAGTGCCTCAGATTGACAAATGCTGATCGAGCTTTAGCGATGCGAAGAGAAACTTCTTTGCTGATAGTGCCGTCAGCAGAAACACAGCTCCCAAGGTAGACGAAACTATCTACCTGTTCAAGTTGTGCACCTTCGAGAGTGAGCACGGGAGCAGGTGAAAGCCAATCCTTGAGCAGTACTTTACACTTCGATGGGGCGAAGCTCATGCCATACTTAGATGCTTCAACCGCCAAACGATCCAGAATGAGTTGCATACCCTGAGGATCGTCACCAAGTAAGGCGATATCATCAGCATAATCTAAGTCGGTCGCGCGCTCACCCGGTAGAAGCTCTAGGCCAAAATGTTGGAAACCTTCTAGAGCATTCGACAGAACGTCTTCGATTGCGAAGTTGAAGAGGAATGGGACATAGGGCAGCCCTGTCGCACACCGCTATTGACAGCGAATTGCGAGGAAAGCTTGCCATAGACCCTCACTCTGCCGGAGGTATGAAGGTAAAGTGCTCGTAAGATGGCGGTATATTTCTCTGGCACCCCGTTCTTTAGCAAGCAACGCCATAAAGCAGGTCGATCAACGGAGTCAAAAGCGGCACGTATGTCTAGGAATGCAATGATAGTGGGCCTGTGATAAATGTGGCGATGTTCGAGGAGCTGGCGGAGCGTGAAGATTTGATCCACGCATCCGCGGCCGGGACGAAAACCAGCTTGTTCTTCACGGTAGGATGATTCACGTATTGGGGATAGTCTACGGAGCAGAATGGATGCCAATAGCTTGGAGGCAACCGAAATAAGACTAATCCCGCGATGATTTACACATGAAGTGCGAGCGCCTTTCTTGAAAATCGGGACAATAACTGATTCGCCCCAAGAGGAAGGCACTTTCTCTTCATGCCAGATTTTTGCGAACAGCGAGGTCAGCTGGTTAATGATCGCCACGCCGCCGTACTTGAACAGCTCCGGAGGAAGTCCGTCTGAGCCGGCAGCCTTGAAGCGCTTCAAGCGTCGAATCTCGAGGCAGACTTCCGCTTCGCTGGGTGGATTCAGTGGGACGAGCCAGGGTGGACAACAAGGTGTACTGCATGTACTGATGGACGGTGGAGGCCAGTTAAACTGCGAGTGAAAGTGCTCGGCCCAGCGGTCCATATGCCTCTGTTGGTTGGTGATCGGAGACTCATCCACCTCGCAAATAACCTCACTGACACCAGGCTTCCTGAGGCCAGTGGACCGAATGAGTTGGAAAAGCTTGCGAGTGTTGCCAGAGAGGGCAGCGGTCTCCATCTCTAAAGCACGCTCAGACCACCATGCCTCGCGATCCTTGCGTAGGCTTTGCTTGAGCAGCCGGTTGGCAGAACGGCGCCGCTCGTTGCTGATTCCACCGGGATATCTTTGCGGCGTTCGAACAGCTCCAGAGAACGAGCAGAGATCCAAGCCTTCAAGAGCGTCGAGTTAGGCCGCAGCATGACTCTCCGGAAATGGTTATCGCTTTCTGTATACAAATCCAGTGTTGCTCCACGTCTTGCGGTGGATTGCAACTGAGTGCGTATGCCAGTGAAGACTGATAGCTCGCCTGGACAGAGGAATCAGTTAATCTGTTTACATCAATCTTGCGGTGCTTCGTGTTTCGGGACCCCCAAAACACATGCAGATTTTCGCGCAGACCAGAGCATGATCTGAGTCAACGAAGGTGGACCAAAAGGACCTGCAGTCCAGTACGCTGCCACGCCATCTGAAGCTAATTGCAATGTGATCAATTTGAGACCACGGTTGTGTTGGCGAAGGAGGACGCCACGTTGCGGAACGCTTCTTCGTACGTCTGAAGTTAGTGCTCGAGAGAAACAGATGGTTGTCTTCGCACAATGTGAGAAGCCTCTCTCCGTTATCAGAGCGGTTCTCATCGAGCGCGTGGAGACCACCAAGGTGGCGTTCGTATGGTAACAGGTGGCCAACCCGTGCATTAAAATCCCCAGAAGGGACAACGACTTCCGACTTTTTAGCATTAGTCAAGAGCAGATGTAGATCCCAGTAGAATTCGTTCTTGACCGAGTCGCCACTGCAGTCATTTGGAGCGTACACGGAAATCACAAACAAGTTGTCAGTCTTCGCAGCGCTTGCTGATTCTACATGAAACCCCAAGCCGAACTGCACACAGTCGGCTGTTAACCAGAAACCAGTTCAGTAGTTCCGCCTCGGCCATGCCACTGTGCTATACCTACATCAGCCAAACCCACTGAGGCTGCTTCTGGATCTCCAGAAAGACACAGATGATACCTGGCTTCGTGGTCAGTGGGGGATGTCAATGTAAGCACAGTGCTGGGATCTTGTAATCGGGTTTCTGAAAGGCAGCAGACCACAATATCGATGGACTCTAGGGTGCGCGTTAGACCGGCTTGCTCTCCATTTTGCATGAGTGTCCGAACGTTGAAGAACGCCAGACGGAACGAGGATCGGGGACGAAGGAGGGCCATAGGTTGAACTCCGCGGTGCGCTGGGCAACCGGAATCGCAACCACGATCTCATTATTTAACCTTATATAATTTTGCATAGTAATGTTTTTGATGCATAGCAACCGGCTGGTAGCTTACCAGAACGATGCCCATCCGTTACCGGTAGCTCAGCCGGCTTGCCCCAGTTGAATTCTTTTTTTTCTCCTTTTTTCTGCGTATTGCGGCACAGTAACTGAGGTGTTCCCCACCTCTAGCTAACGTGTATGATGATGATGATGTTGTTGTTGGCGTGTGATGAATTCGTGTGAATGTGAGAAGCAGAAACGGTAACTGATGTGCACGTTGTAATACAACCCATGCTTTTGTGAGAAGGCGTGATACTATCCGGTTGCCCAAACCGAGGTAGGGAGTTGACTTAGGGGACCCCACCCCGAACCTTTGGCTAAATAAACAACCCGCAACATAGCGGGGCGAATTCAGGGAATCGCGCACATTAGGAATCGCTGACCGAGTGTTCAGTTCATGCGCCTTTCATTTGGTAGATCCCCAAACAGGGGCCCAATACTCTCCATGGAATCAACACAACTGCTGGACTACAATACCCCACGGTGGTGGAACACTGTCGCCGAACACTTCGCTGGAACGGGGTACACCCGGACCACGCAGCTGGCACCACGAGGAGGTAGTTCGGCAAGCCAACACGGTAAGATACAGCCTCATTGCGATGGACGTATTCACGTAGTTTTTTGGCGCTTTCGAAGGTCAGATGATCTTGTTGATCATTGATGCCCATTTCAAGTGGATTGATGCTCACGTCCTTATTACAGCAAATACAGCTAACACAATAGTTAAACTGCGTACGACGTTTGCAACATTCGGTCTTCTGGAAACACTAGCGTCAGATAATGGAACAGCATTCGCTAGTGCCAAATTTTCTACCTTCCCTATCTCGAATGGCATTATACACGTAACTGCTGCGCCTTATCATTCATCATCAAACGGTTTGATTGAGAGAGCTGTGTTTACAGTGAAAAATATATTACTGAAGCAACGAGCAGCCCCTGTGCGTTTAAACCGTTCCCTTTTCGCTTAGCGGAACATGGCAAACGTAAGCATGAGTAGAAGTCCCGCGGAATTAATGTTTGGCCGGCGGTTACCTACACCGTTGGGTTTACTGTACGGTACCCTTGGTTCGGAGGTTTTCGAAAAACAGGACGAGCAAAACAACGCTCTGGCAAGGGCAGCAGAGACAGGCACGTGGAAGAATCTGATCCCATCTATATTCGTTCATCTACAGATTCCGGGTGGCAACCGGCCATTGTTAAAACAGCTCACGGGCAAATAACTGAAGCAAAAACTGAGGATGGCAGAATTATCAGATGTCACTTAGATTACGTGCGAAAGAAACCGTAGACCTTAGCAACAACCGATGACTCAAAAATCCAGACACTAGAGCTGGTCGACACTGAACTACCGAACCAAGTGATTCTACGTCAGTTTACGCGCCAACGCCGGCCAGTGGATCGATTCCCGGCCGGATAGCTCAGACAAGAGAGGGGTGATATGCCTTACCAGACGCTCACCGCGTGTTGTCTCAGTGTGTGTACTATTGCCGTAACCAGTGATTAGCAAGTTGGTTCTGTGTCTATGTGACTTCGAATGCTTTGCGCTCCCTACCACATTTCTCTGAGCTAACAGGTTACGAGTTGTCATGGACGCCAACTTTCCACGGGCAATGAGTGACTAGTTCAAACCTAGATCGAAAAGTATTAAATGTAGGTAGAAATTGGGTGTTGCCCGGCCGAAAACACTGAACTACTATGACGCGTTTCGACGTTATTACATCTCATCAGATAGTTAACAGGCATCGAACCCCGGACCATTGGGAGGTTAGTTGTGACCGCTACCCATAAGCCACCGGGTCACGGGCAATGCTTGGCTTCTTACCGCGAAACTTTTATTGGTCTATCCACGTGAGTGAAACGGTTTGTAAGGTTAAAGAGATCATTTTACGCTCTTCAACTTAAAGTACTTTCGATACCCCGTGAGTTCATTCTTAGAATTGTGATTGCATGCACTCTGTCGCATTGGCTCTACTGCTCTCCTGTAATCTTCCCTGGGTTACTCAAAAAGACTAGACATCGACTGTGTGGTCCAAAAAGCTTAGTTCCAGTTCTTCCTACAAAATTCTAAACCACTCACTTTATCAGCTACATTATGATCTATCAAGAACACTATCTATTTCCTTTACCCGTATAAAATTTAAGGTCCTATATTCTCGTACTGCATCTTAGCGCAATTCGGTTCTACTGTACCTGTCCCGCTCGCTTGTTGATACAACCAAAACTATCAGCATGGTGTAAAATCATTTGCTCGAGGGATTGTAGACATTTTAGAGGTTTTATTATGTTCTTTATCGGTGATTTCATATACTTCACCATTATTAGTGATACTGTACACGCTGAAAATGCCCCTACCCGGGTGCATAAATTCTACTTTGACTATGAATAAGACTGGACCGATATGCAGCGGTTTCAGCTATCACCGAACAGCTGTTGGAAGTGGTGGATCGATTCACTTAACGCGGTAGATGTCAACTCTGATGATCACATCACTGAAGTCAGTTCGCGTATCAGAAAGATCAATGTTTTTCCAGAGCCAATTACTATGGAGGCAATAGCATGTCGATGAAATGTAGAACGTGTAAAGCAGTCATAAGGCCGGTGTATGGGCCGGGGATCTGGCCAGTTCGCAGTGACGATATTGAACGCTTGGTCGTGTTTGACCATCTGTGCTTGCGGAATATTGTCCATGTCTGATGGGTACACCAGGTGAGCAACGCTATGGACCACAATTTGGTATTTGGCAAGAAACCATGTTCATGTCTTGTAGAGTACCATTGTACAGGGTCAAATAACTACTCAAAAGATATGGGCACTTGTCCGAAACAAATGTTCCATCATGTGAGACGTGTTTTTAATAAGCCAAGGATGTACCAAGTTTGGCGAAACTGCGAGATCGCCAGTTGATGACGTGGCATAAAGGTATGACCGAGGGACTTGGCCAGGCTGGTGCATGATGTCTTCGTGAATGAGTGCCCCGGGATGTTCCACCTCAGTGATTAGAAACTACCGAACATGACGAGGTCGCGTAATCCTGCTCCCAGGTTCGTGCCTCTAGCTCTCATTCCATCCTGTTTGGTTTAACGAACCTCCTTCTTCACTCCGTTTTATTTACACTCGGGCTGCATTCAGCTTCATTTTTGTCGTTGCTAGTTATTGTTTCCTTCAGATGACGTGAGTCATGGCAACTGGATCCAGTGAACTTCCGTGCCCGGATCATATCGGTTCAACCGAGCTGACATGAGCTGTGTGATGTAGCAGGGCTAAATGTCATGCCGACAAAGGTCTTAAAAACAAAGAATTCTACAAACACAGCATCAAAAAGGAGGCAGTCTTGAAAAGTGCGAGGGCCAAAACAGAGATGGCTATTAAGGCTTAGCTGAAACACATGTTTCCCAGTACTGAACATTTGGTTCGGACAAGTGGCACTATCTTTCGAGTAGTTGTTTGAGACTGTACAATAGTACTCTCTATAAGAGATGGTAAGAATCACATACAGAACACGTCCAAGCCAGAGATTTAGACGAAATCCAATGCAAGCAGAAACCTGCTGGAATAATTCAACGATAGGATGTTTCACACCCGTAGTATTCCACGTGGAACTAATAATAATAATAATAATAATAATAATAATAATAATCACTTGAATGCGGCTACCCACCAAATGAGGCGGGAAAGCGATAGCAAACACACAAGCTCACCTGGCCCCATTCTATTTGCATCATCTGAGCGAAGGTACCAAAACAGACAGTAACCCAGCATCAGCAAAATGCTCATCCATGCAAGCATTACCGTTGGGGAAATCCAATCGAGAAGCAGATAGAGATATAACGTGACAAAAGTGACGATACTGCGAAAATGGAAAACGTAATTAAAAGCCACATGTAAAACTTACCAGCACAACTGTTGATACACGCAGCCGGCGTCAATAATCAGTGTGCAAAGGCTGTATTTTCGAACGTATACTGCTTGGGATATAAGAAAATCATGTTATACTCACGATTTTTTCGTAGTTCTGATAAAAATTGTGGGCTAACAAAGTTGTCAGGTACATTCTGAGTTTTATACAGCACCTTATCCCAACTAGTTGCCATTGTCTGGTTGAGCATATTGGTAGAAAAACTGATAAACCTCCACTAAATGCATGAGAAAAACCTAGAGAAAGCAGGAGAGAAAGTTAAAGTCAAGTCGATAACTATTCAAGCTGGGGAAATAATTCAGGTGAACCATGATGTCAGGCCGAGGTCCGAAACGCGATCATCATCATCATCATTACACGTTAGCTGGAGGTGGAAAACACCTCAGCTATTGTGCCGCAATACAAAAGGCAAGAAACGAAAAACAAACAGTGGCACGCCCGCTGAGTCCCCAGTAACGGATGGACATCGTTCCGGAGAGCTAACAGCTGGCTGCCGTAAAAGTGAGTCATATTATGCCTAACAAATGAGACCGTGATTGGAGGGAGGGATGGACAAAGGAACTTACAACACAAACGCCATTGGGGCCGGCTCCAAGCCATATCAGCAAGTGTGTCCAACCAAACGTGTTCACCGTCCTTAGGACCCCAGCTAGGCAGTCGGGATGCACCAACCTACGCCAACTTCGAAGTGAGGGTTTTCATTTCTCTCGACCAAGTCATCACTTGGCCTCCCCTCCTCCTCTTCCAACCGCACCCACAACGCGCAAACAATGCACGTCGCGGGAGTCGGTGTGCTGGATGCGCAACACGTGGCCCAGCCATCGGAGCCTGGTGCGTGATATAATGATGCTGAGCGGTTCACTCGCTCTTCCTGCACCAAATACGCGACGTCGAACACGCTCATTTCTCACGCGATGCTCCCACCAGATATGAGCTAAGCTGCGAAGGCAGCGATGATCGAATGTGACGAGCCTTTCCACGTCTGGCGACCAGATGGGCCAGGTTTCACAGCCATATAGGAGAGTTGAACGGACGGCTACGTTGTAAACTCTGCCCTTGAGGGCAAGAGTAATGTCGCGTCTGCGCCACAGGTGGCGGAGATTGGCAAAAGTACCTTGAGCTTTTGCTATACGGTTCATAACCTCATCTTCAATCCCACGGGTGCTAATATAGCTGCCCAGGTATTTGAATTCCTGAACGACTTCTAGCAGATCACCACCAAGCGTTAGCGCAGGGTTGGGTCCCTGCCAATTTTGGAGAAGTACTTTGCATTTCGATGGAGCAAAGCATAGCCCAAAAGGATTGACAGCCAAAGCTAATCGGTCCAGTGCTGTTTGGCAGGTTTGGGAGCTGTCACAGATTAGGGCAATATCGTCCGCATACTCCAAGTCAAGAAGTCACTCACCGGGAAGTAGCTCCACACCTTCTAGGTCGTGTCCAGCGAACGCTGGTTCTATGACTTCATCAATAGCAAGGTTGAAGAGAAAAGGTAACAGCGGGCATCCTTGTCTCACACCGCTGGTGATACTGAAGGGTGGCGAGAGTTTTCCATAAACCCTCACCTTGCCCGAACTATGTGCGTACAGCACACCTTATCAGGCACACCTTTCCTCAGCAGACAGTCCCAAAGGGCACATCGATCGACTGAGTCGAAGGCACCTTTTATGTCAAGAAACACGACGACGGTGGGCTGCCAATAAACATGGCGGTACTCCAACACTTGACACAACGTGAAGATGTGGTCGATGCAAC